GTTTGTTTGGGCTTGTAGTTGTTTAAACCTTCATGTGTGGAAGGTTTCTGATCTTTGCTGTGAAACATTAGGCTCTTTGCCTTTGATTTGTACATATTTACTGATGATATATAAGTCTGCCATTTTGAAAAAAAAAAAAAAACAGCTGTAGATCAAGGAAAGACAAACCACCATTCTTTTTGGGGAGGGAGAGGTGATTCTAGTTTCTCCAATGGATTCTTCTAGCCTGATCAGTTCCAGATTTCCACCAAAACTGTGCACATAATCTTGTAATTTCAGTGCAGATGGACATTGGTAAAGTGAAGCAAGCCATTGTGCAAACTGGAAGTGCTTGAATAATAGCTTTGAGAAGGACTTCCTTTCCAGCAGGACTAAGAATCTAAGATTTCCAAGAAGTAAGCTTAGCTCACACTGAGTTCAATAAATATTCAGAAACTTCTTTCTTTGACCTGCATATCTCCAGGGGCAACCCCAAGTATCTGGTTGATCTGTGAGAGGTAATATTATTCAAGGAACTGCAGATTGATCTCTAAAGATGAAGAGGTGTATTTCTACTGAAGAAAACAACAATTTTTGGAGATTAACTGCTTGGCCAGTGAAGAGCCTGTATCGCTCTAATATGTTCATCAGGAGCCCAGCTTGATTAACACTAGCTTTAAGGAAAAACAGAGAGTCGTCTGCAAAGAGGATATGAGACAACACATGACCATTTCTGGAGAGTTTCATCCATCTAAGCATACCAGAAGATATAAGTTCAAAATAAGAACAGTGAGCAGTTTAGTGACAATAAGAAAGAGGTATGGGATAGAGGATCCCCCTGCCTTATTCCCCTTGAAGGTAAGACATAACTGTTGATGCTTCCATTTATCTTGAAGGAGAAAGAGGCAGTTGACACACAGATCATTACAAGCTTTACAAAATCACTATGGATCCCCATCTGAAGCATTATTTTCTTTATGCATAGCCACTCTACACGGTCAAAAGCTTTAATAAGATCTAATTTGAGGGCCATGAAAGTAATTAGAGCCAGATGTATGTCTGTTCAAGAAATGAAATGCTTCTTGAGCAATTAGCACATTATCAGTAATTTGTCTGCCCTCAAGAAAAGCTGTCTGATGGTCACTGATGCAATGTGGTAAGCAGACCTTAAGTCTTTGAGCTATGATTTTTTATATGAGCTTATAGACTATACTACAAAGACTTATCGGCCAGAATTGACTCAGATTATCAGGATAGAGGCACTTGGGAATAAGGGATAAGACAGTGTGGTTCCAATATTTGAGAATAGTATCTGTGTGAAAGAAACTGTGAACTGCCTTCATGAGATCTGATTTGATCAAACTCCAAAAGTGTTGATAGAAGGCAACTGTCATCCCATCCTCTCCAGAGGATTTGTCAGTTTGAAAGCTGAATAAGGATTGTTCGACTTTCTCTTCATCAAAAGGTTTGAGGAGGGTTGTGTTCATATCTTGTGTGATGGTATATGGAATTAGATGGAGAATTGATTCCCCACCCCAGCTGCCCTCAGTTGAGAAGAGATTAGCATAAAACTCAGAGATATGGGACTCGAACTCTGCCTGAGAAGATAAAATTCTTCTTTGGTTTGAGATCAGCCTAGTTATTGCATTGAGTTTTCTCCTCTATAGAGTATATGTATGAAAAAAACTTGGTGTTGGCATCCCCTTCTTTCAACCATCTGTACTTAGCTTTTTGTTGCCAATGTAGGTCCTCCAGAGTATGTGCCTTATTCAGCTTCCTTCTGGTCTCTTCCTAGATATCCCAATTTTCTTTCTTATCTTGAGTATTTAGTTCTTCCAATTTCTGAGTGAGCTCTGAAATTTCTTTCTGCCTTGTGGATTGAAAAAAAGAACTCCAGATGAGGATAGCTACCCTGGTGTTCTTGACTTTTTCCTTTAGTTGAAAAAAAGGGGTACCAGTGACCGGGGAGTTCCAAGCAGCAGTGACTACCTCATTAAAGCCTTCAATGCTTAACCATCTTTTATCAAAGTGAAAGGGGGCCTTTCTTTTCATTTGAGGTTGTCCCAAGTCTAAAAGTAAAGCAGAGTGGTCTGAAGAGCTTCTGAGGATGTTGGAGACAACTGCATTTGGGTATAAATGAGACGAATCAAGGGAGCCAAAAGCTCTATCCAGCTTTTCTTCAACCAGAGCAGGAGCAGCTCTATTGTTACTCCAAGTGAAAGCATAGCCATTTGATTTTATTTCTAGCATATCCATATCAGTGACAAAGGAGTTAAAACCAAGGAGGCTGTGGATTGGTCTGTTGATTCCTCCTGACTTCTCTGAATTTGGGAGGATGTCATTCCAGTCTCTAATTGAGAACCAAAGAGACCCCCAGTTCTGCTTGGCTGCAATCATTTTTTCCCTTTGGTCCTTTCTAGTCAATCTGCAGGGACTGAGGTATACAAAGACTCCCCATTGAGGGGGATGGGACTGCAGTTGAAATTCTACAGCAATCATAAAGTTCTTACAAATAATTTGATTAATTAAAATGTGGGCATCCCACAACAAAACAAGCCCCCCACTGAGGCCTATAAGATCCACTATAGCTACTCTATTATCATAACCTAATTTTTTACAAGCAGATTTCACAAAAGCATTTGGTTTTTTGGTTGCTGAGAGGAAGATAAAATTTGGATGGTGAGCCTTTTTGAGCTCTCTGATTTGGAAAATTGTAGAGGGCCCACCCAGCCCTCTACAATTCCACACCAGAGCTAACATTTATCAGGGTAGTGCCATTCAAGGCTGGCAACCCCCACCTTTTCCAGACTAGCTTTCTGCTTTTTAGATTGAACCTGATTTTGAGTATTGGAGTCCTCTGGTTGTTCCGTTGGATCCATAGCTTTCCTTTCTCTCTTTCCCTTTGTCAACTGATCAATGATAATAGGATTCTTAGTTGTTCTGGTAAGCCTGCCCATCTTTGTGCTTGTTCTTTTCCAAGTTTTCAGAGACTGAGATTTAGAAACTTGAAAGGATTTTTGATGTAAAGAGAGTTCTGAAACTGAAGTTGTGTCTCTTTTTTCTACTTCCATGGTTGTGGATTCCACAATCTGCAAATTGGCTACTTCATTTTCCTCTTCTTCAGTTGTGTTTTGGTTGGCTGAGACTACAAATGTAGCTCCAATTGATTTTGCTGGGGAGTCTGTGTTCCCTATGTTCGGAATAATTTGATTTTGTTTCCAGCAAATTGGCTTGGTGAAGCTATTTGGGAAGTGCCATTGTCTGTAGCTATAGGAGATTCTGGAGGTGGAGATGATCTAGAACCAAATAAGCTGGAAGGAGCCCATTTAAATCCATCAGCTGCCCTCAACCAATCTCCATACTGTCCCTCTTGGAGAGAATTGTTTCTAATATCTGCCATTTTTTTGGGACATCCCCAGTCCAGATGACCAATTTTTCCACAATAGTGGCAAAGATTGATGAGTTTCTCGTACTTAAATCCAACATTAACAATTTGGTTCCGAGTCTGACTTTAGCCACTCTGGGAAGGGGCTCATCCACATTCAGAGTCACTAAGAGCTTAAGAATCTTACCACCATGATTTCCTATAGTAGCAATAACCACATTCTTAACCTCATTGAAAGCCTGCCCTATCTTGAGTCCCACCTCGGTGCTGATCCAATTAAGGGGAATGTTCTAGACCTGCACCCAGAGATTGAGCTCTTGAAAACTGGGGTGTTTGCTGTTGATACTCGCATCCCATTCTTTGAGAATGAGGTATTGATTCTCGAAGCTCCAGTTTGTTCCATTGACTACCTTCTTCATATCATCCCGGTTCTGAAATATGAACTGGAAATAATTTGGGCTGAGTTCTTTAACGTCCATGGGATGACTAAGTTTCCATATCTAGGACATAGCACGCTTAATACCGATCCAACTAGCTGGTCTGTCTCCGACTTTTTTCCCAAATAGGCTTCTGTTGCACTCGTTGTCGCTGAGCTTGATGTCATCATGAGCAATATCAAAGATTTTGGCTTCATTTGCAGAGAGTGAGACCTTGTTTAAACGATCTGAGAGCTCCTTATCGAAGTCCGCCATATTACCCCCAAAAACCTTCAGACGTCAAGATGAAAAAAGGAAAATGCTCAAAAAAGAGGAGAAGCCAGAGATAATACAAATTGATCAATGTAAAATCGGAGAAGAACGATTAATCGATGATTGAAAAACGAAAAAAAAAAAAAAACATATGCTCTCAAAGAGAGAATCAGAGCTCTTAAAGAGAGAATTACTTTTATGTATATTATAGGATAAAATACTTTTTTCCATCCGAACTATCACGGTTTTGGCGCATCACCATATAAACTATTTTTTTTTTTACAAACCACCATATGAACTATACAGGTTTGTCAATGTACCCCCTAAACCAGATATAAAAGTGGTTTTGACTGAAAAAGCTGTTTGGTCACCATATGTGCACCTAAATACTTTTACAAACCACCATATGAACTATCATGGGTTTGTCAATGTGCCCCCTAAACCACTTTTATATCTGGTTTAGGGGGCACATTGACAAACTCGTATAGTTCATATGGTGGTTTGTAGAAAAAAATAGTTTATATGGTAATGCGCCAAAACCGTGATAGTTCGGATGGGAAAAAGTATTTTACCTTATATTATATGACAAAATACTCTATATAAAATTTTAAAAATTTTAAAATTAATTATTTGATTCAACAATATCTGGTGATTCGACCGTTGAACGTGACCCGGTTACTCAAAGATCATCCCATGTCGGGCCGAGTTCAAAAGCTATGGGTGCACTATCTAATCTTAGCATATTGTCTTCAATTCACACTTTGATGTCCCACCTAGCTTGGCATAATCCCCATCAAATGGAAAACATAACAAACCTTAATGCCCACCCCTACGTTTCAACAAATCATTGGACGACAAAAGTCCATTAAAAAAAAAAAAAAAAGAGAAGCAACCGTTTCCTACCCTTTCTCTCTCATAAATCACATCGGTTATCTAAAAATTGGAAAATGAGCGGCACAACAACCAACATACGCCTTTCCACCGCCGCCTACACTGATTCCCCCACAAAGCTCCGCTCCGCCTCCGCCTTTCCCAGCTTATACAATCCGCCCCTTTCTTACTCTGGTCTCTCATTTTCCGGGAGCTTCAATTTTGCACCTTTCAGGCAAGCTCGTGCGACGTCATCGTTCGCCATGGCCTCTCCGATTTTAGTGAAAGTCAACGCCTCTTCCACCGTGGGTGAGTGCATGTGTGTGTTTTAAAGAAATATGTTCGTGGTGTTGTTCCTCTTGAGTTCGCGTGAACTTATATATGTTTGAATTAACGAGATAGTATATCGGTAGTCACGAAGGATTGATGCAGTTCATAATGGAACTGTGGCGTTTTCCCGATTTATTTGAGTCCAGAGATATCATTATGTGAAATGATAAGCTATGTGTAAAAGAAAAAAGTTCAAAGTGAATTCACTAGAGAAGAATCTCTGTGTAAACAAATAAAAGCGAATTTTTGTAGAAAGCTGTTTTTGTTTGGTTTTCAGCGCATTACAACATCAAAATGTGCCAAGTTCAATTTCACAAAGCCGAAAAGCAATTTGTTTTTAAATAGGCTATTCCCATTGTTTGGATCCAGATTTGCATGGTTTTAACAAGTTTCGATTTGAAGTAGATGTTCTCTATAATGTGTATGTTGATCCTAGCTTCATGTTCATGTCTGTGTGTATATTTATCTATGCAGTCCATTAATTATGTGCTTGTTATGTACAAGGGGAGCTTAACAATGAATATGAAGCTTCATCTACTAAAAAGGTTGGAGCTGATGACTTGTTGATTGTTGGGCCAGGGGTCCTTGGACGCATCGTGGCTGAAAAATGGCGGGAGGTAATATTTTTCTAGTGAAAATATAAAAGCTCTTTCTAAACATTAATGCAAATATATGATCACGCAAGAGGCAATAGTATTGTACATCTATCACTATTCTAAATGCCATTGCCTGGGTTCTAGGATTCCCTTGACCACCTAGGTCTTTGTTTCGTTCCTTTTTGTTTCTATGTTAAATTGAATGTTGAACCCTATCTACGCCACTTCTAATCCTGCCGAGGTCCGGGCGAAGCAATTGGCCCCACACTCTTGCCCACCTGGATCCTACCCTTTCTATAGAGCATCGAGATCTATGAGTAGGGGTATGTTGGGTGGAAAATATGGTGATTAGAAATAAATTTTGGAAAAGTATATGTTACCGGCATTTTACTTGTCCTGCACTAGTGGATTGTGCCTAATTACGTTTTCAAGAATTTCCTTTTGTGTTTATACGACATGTATATAATATAGAGATACTGAACAATTTGAAATTTTCACCATATTTAGGAACATCCTGGATGTCAAATTTATGGGCAGACATTAACGACTGATCATCATGATGAGCTAATAAAGATGGGGATCAGTCCTTTTCTCAAGTGGGGAACCCAAGTAGCTTCCAAGTTTTCCCAAGTCATCTTCTGTGCTCCTCCATATGGAACCGCCGATTATCCGGGTGAAGTCAGGTGTGCTAAGCAACATGCACAAGTGAATTATTAAGATTAGGTTCCAAATGATGTTGAGTCCAAAAAAACTGATACTGCAAACCCGGCGTAGTCAGTTTTATACAGATGTCGTGTCCCAAGTGGGATGTTGAGGAGGTGGGCCCATGCTTGACCCGATATACCCATTGCCATCACCTTGCCTGAAGTTTAAATATATTTTATCAAAAGGAATTTCATTAGTTTTTATGTGGAATTTTATGCGTTTGCTTAAATCAATATTAAGCTTAAATTAACACAAGCTTATCTGTCTTTTTGCATTCTGATCTTCCATCACCTCATATTGCATTTTTGGATGCCTGCTCACTGTAAGAGAGTGGTTACATATTAAATATATATGACTTCACTTTTTGTGCTAATGCTAACACTAGGGAAGCAACATTAAGCTGGAATGGTGAAGGTTCCTTCCTATTTACTTCAAGCTCGGCCCCCTATGACTGCAACGACAATGGAGATTGTGACGAGGTATTTCATCTAGCTTGAAAAAATATTTATTTCGTGACACTACTAAAGATAGAACTTTCATTCTCATGTGAATTCTATGTAATTAATTATTACTTTCTGTTTGTGTAGGACACTCCAGTAGTACCCATTGGGAGGAGCCCTCGGACTGACAATCTACTAAATGCAGAGAAAGTAGTGCTCGAGGCTGGGGGTTGCGTTGTCAGACTAGCTGGACTTTACATATCCTTCCTTTTTTCTTTCTAATAACTCAGATTGAGCCCTTATTACTTTTCAACTGAAATAAGATGAATAGATGATACAACAACAACCTTAACTGTGAGTACAAAGTAGATAGAGGTGCACATATGTACTGGTTGGAGAAAGGGACAGTTGATATTTGGCCGGATCACATTCTTAATCTAATACACTATGAGGTGACTGATGATATTCTAATAGACTCTTACATAGTCCTGGTTTCTTAGAAATTTTGATTTAACGAAATGGGTTCGTGCAAATATATAGGATGCAGCTTCTCTTTCGATTGCCATCTTAAAAAGTGATCTCCGCAGTAGGATCTTTCTAGGATGTGATAACCACCCTGTATCCAGGTTCCATGGTTTAAACTCAATAAGCAGCAATTGAATATAGTAGGATTGAGACAATGTAGAAATTGCTTCTAATTAGCCATGTCATACGTTTTTCAGACAGGAATTGATGGACTTGGTTAATAAGAGTGGAAAATATAGTAAGAAGTTTGAGGCTTTTACAGGTAAGCTTTGCATCTTAGATTTTTGTTATTGTTTGTTTGATCACTTGTTGATGTTTGTTAAATTTTTCTGCAGGAACTTCAGACCTTTTAGGTAAGAAATTGAACAACTCGAAAACCCGTGCAAAACTTGGTTGGGAGCCGAAATATCCGAGCTTCGCTCAATTCCTTGAGACTCTTTAAGTAGCGTTTCCAGTAAAAACTTGTGCCCTGAATTTACTTTTGGAGCATGTGATGTGCATACAGATTTGTCATTGATGAAGTTCTTTTTGAAGTACTTGGTATCTTTGCCTGAAATCCATGTTATCATCCAATTAATATGAGAAATGCTATAGGTACATAATATTGTATATTGTACATAGAGGTGTACATAACACTCACATTAAATGGGCCTTACCAAAATCATCCGAGTCGGTTTAAGCCCTTGCAAACCCAATTGCTTAGGGCATGAGGTTGATATCGGCTCCCAAGTCGAGCATCCCGATTGTAATCTTCCCATTCCCGAATGTAATCTTCATGACAAAGGCTCTCGGGTCACACTCTTTCCGAGGTATGGTAGTCGAGGCTACCTCGAAAATCATCACATTCTCATTATCCACGAACCTCCGTTTTTTCGAAGCTAAGTCCTTGAAAAATTGAACATATGCCGGCACGTTTTTTATAACGTCTAGTAGTGGGAGGTTCACGTTCACCTTCGAGAGCATGTCAAAAAGATCTTGAAATTGACGCTCCTTCTTTGTATCTTTCAAACGGCTCGGGAAGGGCACCGGTGGTCGGTAAGGTTCATCCGCTTTGTGCAAAGCCTCATGGGCATCCTTCTTCCAACTCCCCTTCTCAATCCTCTCGTCAACAACGGCTTTCCCTTTCGAAACATCAACCTTATCACCCGGCTCATCATCATCCTCATCAACAACAACTTCAACCACCTCATCTTTCTCGGGAATCTCAACACGATTATCAATCATCTTACCGTTCCTCAAGACCGTGATGGCATTCAAGTGCTCGGGTTGGCTCGGGAGCTTGTCTTTCATTTTGCTCCTTTGGATTTCCCCGATGGAGGTCCCGAGTTGCCCCACTTGAGTCTCGAGGCATTTAAGAGAGGCTTGAATCGATGACACTCCCTTGATGGTGTCGTGCAATGTCGAGATGGTGAAGGCCAATGATTGAAGGCACTTCTCTAAGCTTTCGATCCGAGTCTCCGAGGATTCTCCGTTAGCATTCCTCTCGGGCTCGGGTGGAGGTGGCAAAGGGTGCCTCGGGACGAAGCCTCCACGCCCTTGTGGATATCCTTGAAACTCGGGCCTCGGTTGATAGCCTTGGAACTCGGGTCTCGGTTGGAACGGTGGTCGGTTGTTCGGTGGAACATATTGTTGAGGTTGGGAATAGGGTTGTTGTGGTGCCGGTTGGGTGGGTAGGTGGCTTTCGGGTCCCTCCATGAAAAGTTGGGGTGGTTTCGTCACCCGGAATTATAAGTGTTCGAGTAAGGATCGTTTTGGACCCGGGGGACGTACCCTTGGATAGCATTGATGTCGTAGAGGACTCCTTCGAGATTTGGGTCGTAGGCTGGCACCATATAATTTGGGCACTGTTGCCTCCGTGGCCGGCCTCTCCACAACACCCGCATACTTCTGTCATCACCACTTGAGTCGACTTTGCATCCCTTAGCCGGAGTTGCTTGAGTTCCTCCTCCAACGAGGCTAGCTTGGCAAGAACGACATCGTTCGAGAACCCAATAGTTTGTGTAGCCTCATTAACGGGGGCCTTCTTACGAACGCTCTTCCGTTGCGAATTCTCGCTCAACATCTCATACAAGTTATATATTTCCTCCTCCGTATGGCTCCCTATGTCTCCACCGGCCGCATGATCGACCATATATTGAAGGGTTTGGTGGAGACCATCGTAGAAAAATTGGTTGAGCACACCGAGGCAAAAGTTGTGATGTGGGCATTGGAGTTGATAGCCCTTGAATCGTTCCCAAGCCTCGTGGAAAGTCTCACCGATATTTTGGCTAAAGCTAGACATTTGAGTCCGTAGGTCGGTGGTCTTTTGATGGGAGTAGTACTTGCTCATGAGCTTCTCGTATACGGCTTCCCACGTGTTGAGTGAGCTCGGAAGCAATGTCATGAACCAAGTCTTGGCTCGGTCTTTCAAGGTGTAAAGGAAACATCTCATTCGAAGTTGATTCTCGGTTAGGCCTTGGAGGGGAAACGTGTTGACGGTTGCATAAAAGTCTCGGATGAAGTTGAGGACATCCTCTTGGGCTAAGCCGTAGAATGATGGGAGTTGGTTTAGGTGGATGGTCTTGAGATCATAGTTTCGGGCCGCCTCCCCGAGCACGAGGCACGAGGTGTTATCTCCAATGATAGGTCGTGCGAAGTACCTCATGTTCGGGGGAGGTTGTGGAAGTTGATCTTCTCGGTTCGCCATTGATTCGGGTTCCGGTTGAGGCTCGTCTATGTTGAGTTCAACGAAAAGGTCGATTGATGGAATCTCCTCTGGGGGTGCACGCCTTCGTCTACCTCGCATAAACAAAAACAACAACTATACCCGGTGAATGTATCAATGGGAAGCGAGATAAAGACACAAGCAACAAGAACAAATAAACGACATAAAGCAAGAGAAATAAAGAGAAACACGGAAATTAAGCAAAAAGCACAAAAATCAAGAGAAACACACGAAAAATAGACAATCAAATAGCAAACTAGGCGTCCTACTTGCCTTCCCCGACAACGGCGCCATTTGTTTAGTATAGATTTGATGGGCAAGTGGTAACCGAGCTACCCGACTCGGGTCGATCTCGAATGAAGGCTATTCGGAGCTTTGTCTACTAAATGATTGTTCAAATCACAAAAAAGGGAAATAAAATTCTATACATTCTAAGCATTTGATTGGATGGTTGATTAACACTAATTGAACATTTAAAAACGAGCAATTAATTGAAAGCAAGATCAAATCGCGAGCATTTAGCAAACTAGATTACCGGAATCTCATGCCATAACAATAACGGGATGATAATCAATCCATACGGAATAAACGAGCTATGAGCATTAGATTGCTAACCCTAGTCGTCTAACCGAGATCAACAAGCAATTAACGGCTCTATCTACTCAAGCAAGCAATCAAGTTCAAGCATTTTCACCATCATCAATCAAATCCAATTTACTCTAATGAACATTATAAGTAAAACCGGAGCAAAACCGAAGTAAAGAGCTTTAAAACTAAATACTCAATCTCCCATTGCGTAGACGATGAAAACCGGAGTCAAAAGCTCGAAACTTGAACGAAACCGAAGTCGCCGGAAAATATCTCGGAAAATAGCATAAACTCCTAATCTAGAGAGCAAAAATAAACATGAGCTAGTTTCCCAAAGTGGGAAAAATGAAAAATGAGAGAACAATCCCCATAATTCAAAGGAACAAAAATATTTATACTACTACCCACACACACACTAAAACATGCACATTAAAATGGGACACTCGACCACGCTACTAAATCCACGAGTGGCCGATGGTTTGCACAGGTGCACGGGTGCAGGGGCTCTCGACGTCGCGCGGTTATCCGCGAGCTCGCGAGTGAACGGGCATGGGCGCACGCTGGGCAGCAGCAGCAGGTAGGTGCTCTCGACGTCGCGCGGATATCCGCGAGCTCGCGGTTCGCACGCTGGCCACTCTCGACCTCGCGCTCACTTCCGCGAACACGCGGCGTGCTGTGGTGCGCGGGCATGTGCGGGTTGGGCGTGCAGGGCTGCAGCGTGCGTGAGCGGACTAAGGGCTCGACATACTCGACCGGGAATTGTTCGTACGAATGGCTCGGAACTTCTCGGCATTCTCGGGATTTTCGCTCGACTTCCTCATCATCCCCAGAAAACACCTAAAAATGCAACAATAACACGGACAAGTACGCTAAAATATAAAATAAAACGAAAGACACGAAAACACACGGAAAACTACAAAATGGACCGAGCGACACTAAAACGAACCTAAAACCGACTCAATAACACAAATAAACACATAAAAATAAGCACAAAAACATAACAAACAGCGGTGGAGCAGGGAGCTCCGACGACGGCTGTATGGCAGAGAGGATCCGACGACAGTGGCAGAGGCTGGACGGAGGAGTCGGGGCGAGAATCGATCGTCGAAAAAGTGACAGATTTGTTTGAGGTGTTAAGGGACTGCATTTTGAAAATTTGATAAGGCTGAAGGATTTGTATGCAAATAAAAAAGTTACCTACATTCAATTTAGTACATGTGCTAAATTTGTAGTCTACCAAACTTTAATAAATGCATCATATTGATGAGGAAAATGCACATTATGGGGTGTATATATTAACATTAAAATACTATTACCTTTTTATACGAAAATATTAAATTTATAATAATTGCACTGATAAGTAAATTGCACAATAGAATGTGTTATATGCAATTTAAGAATTCATTTGAAGAATTTAAACATATATTTATGATATAAATGCACATTAATGGTTAAAAAAAATAAC